TACCTTTGATTCAGTGAAGTTACCAAAGGGTAAGAAATAGATGGGTTTATCATATTAAGACAGATGAGTGTACTTCTCAAAGAAGATACAAGGTTTTCTTGGTGGTAAAAGGTTTTAAACAACATGAAGGTGTTGACTTTGGCGAGGTTTTTGCTCCAGTTGTGAAGATGCAATCTATTTGAGTGGTTCTTGGGCTAGCCGCTAGTCTTGATTTTGAAGTAGAGAAAATGGACGTGAATACAACTTTCCTTCATGGTGATCTACATGCGAAAATTTTCATGGAGAAACCAGATAGATTCTGAAAGAAGGGAAAAGAAGACTATGTTTGCAAATTGGTAAAGAGTATTTATGGTTTGAAACAAGCACCTTGTTAATGTATCAAAAGTTCGACTCGGTGATGATTGAACATGGGTACAAGATGACCAAGACTAATTATTGTGTGTTTTTATGGAATTTCTCCAAAGGGGATTTCATTATTCTCTTGCTTTATGTGGATGATATGCTAATTGTTGAAAAATATATTTCAAGAATTAAAGAGTTGAAGAACGCTTTGAGTGAATCTTTTTCTATGAAGGATTTAGAAGAGGCACAGAAAATTATTGGCAAAGAAATTTGTTCGAGATCGAAATGAGAAGAAGTTGTACTTGTCACAATAAATGTATATGGAGAAAGTCCTTCGGCGTTTTAGTATGGATAAGGCTAAAGCAATGAGAATTCCACATGCTTCTCATTTCAAGCTTAGTCATAAACTATGTCCATCTACGGATGAAGAAAATTTGAGTATGAAGAACATTTCGTACTTGTCGGCCGTTGGTAGTTTGATATATGTTATGATTTGTACAAAACCTGATATTGCTCATGCCCTGGGAATGATGAGTCATTATATCTCAAATTTGGGGAAAATGAGATATTTGTGTGGCTCGTCGAATTTAAAGCTAACCTTGGGATGCAAGAAGCTTATGTTAGTTAGGTATACGGATTGGATCTAGCCGAAAGCTTAGAAGATCGGAAATCTACTTCGAGGTATATGGTGTTTTTTGTCGGGGGAGTCGTGACTTGGCAATCAAAGTTGCAAAAGTGTGTTACACTCTCTACTACTGAAGCCGATTTTATAGCCGTCGTGGAAGCATCAAAGAGTTTTTATGGTTGAGGAAATTTACAATGAAACTTGGTGTGAAACAATAAAAGCGTAATTTGTTTTGTGATAATCAAAGTACCATTCACTTATCGAAGAATTCCTTATTTCACTCGAGGTTGAAGCATATTGATGTTCGTTAGAATTGGAGTCATGACGCATTAGATTTCAAGTTGGTAGAGCTTGAGAAGATTCACACCGATGGTAATGGTTCAGATATGTTGACAAAGGTGTTTCCTAAAAGAAATTGAGTTTTGTCGCGCGATAGTTGGATTGGTGTTGCCCTCCAACTAGTCGGTCAGGGGAGTTTGTTGGGTTATCCCTTCTATTTGGAGTGACCCAAATTGTGAGTTAGTAGCACATGTGCATATAAGCCATTGTTATTATACAACAAAGAGAAATGATGTTAACATGTGAAAAACAACAAAAGTACAGAGGAGAGAAGAGTGAAAACCCTAGTAGTCACACCAAATCCCGCAGCCATATTTTAGCATAGATCAGATCAATGAGATCAGAGTTTGCACACAATTCAACCGTTGGATCGTCCTAAAATTTTGACACAGTGTTTGTCACTCATATGAGTACATTCTAAACGATGGAGATCAGATTTGTGACATGCAAATTTCTTAGTGTTTTTGGGTTATTTGTTTATTTTGATTCTTGTTGTATTCCAAGATTGATTGTAGATCTTAATGATGTTGATGTAAGCCTCTAACTAGTGCTAGAGAGAATTTTGATTATATCCATTGTTTGATTATAGTGGAGATTTAGTTGGCCTACGGGTCCCGTGATTTTTTACTCCTAGTTAACAAAGGTTTTTCACACTAAAATTGTGTTGTGTTGTTTGATGTGATTTGTTGATTATTGTTGCATTTGATATTTGTAAGAGATTGTGTTACTGAATTATTTTGTTGCGTTGTGGATTTCCTCCCAAAAGAAACTATATTAGTAACTACTCTTTTTATTAAATGTAGACTAATATAGAGCTTTCTTCGTGATATATATATATATATATATATATATATATATATATATATATATATATATATATATATATATATATATATATATATATATATATATATATATATATATATATATATATATATATATATATATATATATATATATATATATATATATATATATATATATATATATATATATATATATATATATATATATATATAATACTAATAATTAAAAAGATGGTGGAGACATGTACCTACCATTTCTATTACGTACCTTTCTTTCGACTCATCCGACTCAAGATGTTTTAAAATATTTCTCAATCCCTCTTAGATATTTTAAAAAAATTCTCAAATTTTAAAAACACACTCTTAAGAATTTACCATTGCGTTTCTTAGATTAACATTAGAATCCTCAAATCATTCTCTTTGTCTTCAATTCCAAAGTTTTGAAGTTTGTGAAGACAAAAGTGATAAAAATACATATTTATAACTAATGAATTCATCAAACGATCAATAACAAGCTCAAAACTATCAAGTTTAATACACAAAAAACTATCTGGATCAAATCCAATATTCGATAGACTTAAGTCGCTTGCCGGAACCGACCTGACCACTGCCAACCCACCGACCGCCCCCGCTCTCCGGTGTGTCGACTTCCAAAAAGATTTTTAATTTTTACAATTTCAAAACATACTTCTTTTGTCTTTACATTTAGCTATTTTAATTTCTACTAAAAATAATTAGGGCATACAAATTAAAACACATAGGGCATACAAATTAAAATTGTATTTGTATCAATTAGCCATTTTAATTCCTAGAGTTCCCATATTGAAAAAGTAATGACAACAAACTTTGACCTAGACATGTACTGATATAGAGTACTACACTTTCAAACTTTTTAGAACATAAACAGAAGCATACCAAGGCCTATGTTAGAGTAGTCAATAATATCTAAAACAAAATTTGAAATAGGTCTTGTGTTAAAGAGAAAGTTTTACATTAAATCATTTGAAAGGTGGACCACAGCAAAGTATAGAAGCCACTGTCTTCACAGCTCAGACTTAACATTATCTCTACATGTGTCTTTAAATTCATGCAGGTTAAATTCCAAAGCATAGTTAATAAAAAATAACGTGTTCTAAGTAAACCAAACTAGTCCTCTTTAAACAGTGAGGTATTAATATGAAGAAAGCAAAGTACGAAAGGATATTAATGTGAGATTTAAATCTGATATAGAAGCAAGTTGCAAAGATTGCATAATATAGTATAGTTGGGTAAATTCATAAATATATGAGTTGCAAAACTCGTGATGTGAATAATATTTGGAGGTTAACCTTTGCGTGTTGGCACTGTACCTGTACTATTGTACCCATTCTCATATTAAATATCAAAAACATATTTAATTATTTTCATATTTGTAGGCTCCATCCTTTTATTTTGTCAACCATCCCTTTGCTCAAACTAGATATCTTAAGGACACTCTTATCCCTATCTCATCTCACTGCCCTTACTTTCTATATACCACAAGAATTTCATCTCATCTCACCCTTATTGTCCCTTCACAAGGATCACATACAAATATTCAAATTGCCTAAAAATGCATTTTTGAATCTTAACCTTTCAACTTTCAATAACTATTATTATCTCAATCAAACTTTGTCTTAAATTATTTTAGAATTGTAGGGAGACTTTGTTGGATACTTTATTTAATCACGATTTAGCCGTTGCAGAATGAGTTAAATACTTTAATAACAGTTGTAAAATATATAAGATGATTTATCTAGTTACGGTTTAACTATGATAAATATATATTAAAATTTTATTTAATATTTAAATACAATTTATCTATGATAAATTTTTGAATTTTGTGTTGTAGATAATGATATACATCTTCATTGTCAATTTTGATAAAGTTTTTTTTCTGTGTAAATTATAAAAAAAATGTTTAATTAAATTTATAAATAAAATAAACTTTTCAACAAATTTAGGACGTGTTTGTTTTAGTTTTTAAAAAATCTTATAAAATATGTATATATTATTGAAAATTAAAATATAGTCAAAATCGAAATTCTTTTCAAAAAAAATAATTTTTATGAAAAACTATTTGAAATAGCTTCAAAATTAAATATTTTTCTTTTAATTTTGATATAAATTTTTTTTAAATAAAATGATGAAATATCTAAAATAATATTTTAAGAACAATCATAACCAAATTTTCATTAAAATCTTTTTTTTTAGAATTTATAATTTCTTTTAATAAAAATATGTAACACTATACAAAATTTATTTTTAAAAGAAACTAAATTAAACAGGGTCCATTAAAATCAACCATAATCCAATTATACAAAAAAAAAAAAACAATTCAAGTCTCTCTAATCATATTGTAATGACCATTACAACAATCACATTTTATTCTTAATTTATAAATTGAAAATAAATACTAATTTTAATATTTTATAACATAAATATACATTATTAAAAATTAAAATATAGTTAAATTCACAATTTTTTCAAAAATTACATTTGTAAAATGATTTTTATAAAAAAAAAAAATTATTTAAAATAGGTTCAAAATTAAGTGATTTTTTTGAAATTTTGAGATTAAAAGTGTTTCAATAATAAGATGATGAAATACATAAAACAACATTTTAATAACAACTATTCAAACCAAATTTTTATTAAAAAACATTCTTTAACAAAAATATACAATACTATAAAAATTATTTTAAAACAAAAAGTTAAAATAAACAAACTCATAAAAACCGACTATAATTCAATCATACAAAGATTTTTAAATCTCTCTAATCATGTTGCAATGACCACAATCACATTTTATTCTTAATTTTTTGCAACTTCAATTTAAAAAGCTCCGCAACTGCAATTTAAAACACTGGTTAATCGGGAGAAGCAAACACAAAATTTTTAAAGCTAGTGTACGCTCCATCAACTACGAGATTGTGACCCGAGATAAACTTAGAATCATCTGATGCTAAGTACAATGCAGCCCTAGCAACATCAATTGTCTCACATTTGGCACCTTTGAGAACACTAAGCCCACTAACCATTTCCCTTATTTCTTCTTGAGTGAAACCATGAAGAAATTTTCCAACTTGACTCACTGACATTGGTGTAGGAATTGGAGCTGGTGATATGCAATTGATTCTAATCCCATCTTTACATAGCTCACCAGCCACTGATTTCACGATCCCCGGTATTGTAGACTTTGATATTGTGTATGAATGAGGCCCAAGCCCACCAAAAAGCCCACTTATGCTTGATGTGCAAATAATTGATCCATAGCTCTTTGGTAACATCACCCGTGCTGCGTGTTTTATACCTGTAATAACGACTTTATTGTAATTGCGTTTATAAAAACAAAAAACATATTTAACTCTAAAAAAATACCCGCGATGACACCGGTGACATTGATTCTCATGACTTTCTCAAATTCATCAATGTCCAATTCTGTTATGCTTGGTGGGAATATTGGGCCTGTAATGCCAGCATTGTTGTACATGATGTCTAGTTTACCATACTTTGTTATGGCAACATTTACAGCTTCTTCTATTTGGGCTTCAACAGTGACATCACACTCCACATATTGGGCTGATGGGCCTAACTCTTTTGCAACTTGTGGCCCAAGTTGAGTGTCGTTGTCAGCAATGATAACTTGGGCCCCATTTTGGATAAATTCATGGGCTGTGGCCTTTCCAAGCCCACTTGCAGATCCTGTTATGATTGCTACTTTTCCTTCCAACCTACTTTTTAGAACCAAAATGAATAAAATTCAATTAATTAATGAGAATCATCATGGGTGTGTGGAAAGAAATATGGGGGATGATAAAAGTAATTTTGTTTGGTTTGAATTTTTTAGTGGAATAGTGGAGCACTAGAGTATATGATGATGATTTATGATGGCTTCTTATCTAAATGTAAATTATTTCAGCTTTATTTCAAATGTGTCTAAATCAAAAAGTATTATTTCTTTTTCACAAAGTTGGGGGATCATGTTGTGGACCAAAGATTCATCCAACAACATTTTTTTGAGATTGTATATTCCTTAAATGACTTTGAAAAATAAGAGCAAGGAAAAAAGAGCACATCTAAAGATTGACTATGATAAAAAAAAAATATGGATTGTGAAACACAAAATCTTATCATAAACACAATTTTACCATAAATCATATAAATGTCAACATAAAATGATTATGGTTCTCAAATGTGGATGGGCCGGCCCAAAGTAAAACTTCAACGGCAATTCTTTTTTAGAACTAAAAATATAAGTTTTATTTTCCAAAAGACTATATTTTATTATTTTTAGAATTACATTTGGTAATAACTTATTTAAGATTAATATTTCTTTACAACGTTGATTAAATTGATGGACTTATTTTTTAGATGCAATCAATTAACATTATTATTACTTAAAAAATAAATAAAATCTATTAAATTAATTTAATAAATATAATCAAAATGATGGAAAAATAAAAGAGAATGTCGACTATCAAATTTAAGTTGGATGGTTGAAATAGAAAAGAATATTAGAGATTTTCTGTGACACAAAAGTATCATTCAACCCGAAGAAAATTGTTTATTTGTGATGTTGTATGAGACAAATCGTTCGCTGGTTAAGAATTAACACAAGAATAAAATAAGTACAATAATTATGAAGATGTTTTATTGGATATTTGATAAGATTAGAGGAAATAAAATTAGATATTTGATAAGACTAGATGAAATAAATAAAAAACGACAATATTAAAAAGAAAGATAGAATAACACTTATAATAAAAAATGGTGAAAACTATACTTAAGTAGTTTGAATATGTAAAAAAAAGACACATAAATTCTAATATAAAAAGAGTATATTAGATGAATATATAAACAAAATATTAAAGAAGATTTCGAAAATAAAAATATAATATTAGATAACATAGTAAGAAGGAATTTGATTTATCTAGTCGATCTTATTTAGAGGAATAAGACTTAATTATTGTTGTTATAATCTAAAACCTAAAAACAATATTTAAATTAAAATTTAACATTTATCAAAATATTATATTAGGGTTTTAATAAACATCATCATCAAACTTACTTTACATCATCTAATATGTTGGTCCAACCATAAAGGTAGTTTATCAAACAAAATTAAAAAAATCATATATTATTTGTATGCCAACATCAGATCAAACAAAATTTGTATGCTTAGCTTGTATCATCTAATCCGTTCACATATTACATAATGTTGCCGGCCTTTTTTAATATATATATATATATATATATATATATATATATATATATATATATATATATATATATATATATATATATATATATATATATATATATATATATATATATATATATATATATATATATATATATATATATATATATATATATATATATAGTTTTCACATATATTATTAAGTGTATGAGAAGAGAATCATTGAAGACGTTTAATTAAAAAATAAAAAAGTGGACAATGAAATAGTGATAGCTGTTTGTGTATGCTAGATGTGTGACATGAGAACATGTTTATGGGAAGCAGCTAGCAGGATTTCTTCCATGTGTTTCATGGATTTTTCTTCCCATTCTTTTGCTTTTCATATGTCAATCAAAATGAAATCAAGTTTTTGTATCATATATAAAGACAGAAAGAGGCTCCTCTAAAAAGTGTTATATATTAATAACAAAAATCATGAACAGTAAAAATGTAGTGAATTCACCTCATGTAAATTTAGACTAACATAATCTGTATCCAGTGAATATATTACTAAAAATGTAATAAAAAAAGTGCAGTTCATTTATGAAGAATTCAGATAGATTTAATGAGAGTTATTACCTTCTTCCACCAACCACTGAACTTGCAAACAATCTGCTACTGCCATTGCTCGTGTTCAGCTTCAACTCCCTGCATAAAAGATCAAAACACAAGTCACTCTTCAGAAAACTCCAAACAATTATATAACAGAATTCCTTACAAATTAATGAAATGTATAAAGTTGTTATTTTCGGGTTTGAAATTCGAAGCTAAATGAATGAATATGTTAATAAAACCTTGCTAGTGTTCTGAACATGATCATCAAGATCTGATTCTCAGGGAAACAAGAAGAGTGTTGACCTCGGATGATGGATCTAGATACCTCCGCTGCATATGAAAAGAAACAGAAATGATCAATATTTAAGGAAGGTGTTTGACCCATATATATATATATATATATATATATATATATATATATATATATATATATATATATATATATATATATATATATATATATATATATATATATATATATATATATATATATATATATATATATATATATATATATATATATATATATATATAATCATGATTGTATATCTTCAAACACAAAGAGAAATTTAATAATAGTACGTTCGTCGAACAGTGAATATTATACTTAAAAAATTTCACACAGAATAATAGTACATTTCTTGATTATGCGGGATTGGGAAACACTAGTGTTCAGTGAGATATGAGTGAATTGAACAAGATTGAAGATGAGCGAAAACAGTACTCTGAGTACTAAGCTTTCGGTGTTCAATGGCAAGAAATGAAATTTGTAGATGATTCAGATGCGTGTGTTGTTTGATGCTCAAGATATTCTTGATAGTGTCAACGACAGTTACATTCACTTTTGGAAAATGCAACAAATGCGTAGAGGGATGCTCAACGCGATCTGAGGAAGAAGGATCAGAATGCATTGTTCTACATTTATCAGTGTGTGGATGCGAACATGTTTGAGAAGATCGTTGATTCAACGACGGTGAAGGATGCATGGGACACACTGGTACAGTGCTACGGTGGTAATGCATCAGTGAAAAATGTGAAGCTTCAGCCTTTATGTAAGCAATATGAGAATCTCAGCATGAAGAAAATGAGAAGATACCTGACTACATCTCCAAAGTAATTTTGATCATAAATGAGATGAAGTCGTGTGGAGAAACTCTCTCTGAAGAAAAGATCATTGAGAAGGTACTTGAATCTCTTACTTCTCAGTTTGATTACATTGTTGTAGCAATTGAACATTCTAAGAATCTTAGCACCATGAGAATTGAAGAGCTACAAAGCAGCCTAGAGGCACAAGAGTTGCGTCTAACTGAGAAAAACTCTGAAATAGAGATAGAGCAGCAGGCTCTGCAAGCAGCTTCTTGTAAAAAATATCAAAAGCAGTCTTGGTCAAGAGCTAAGAAGAAATCTAATGGTGTTCAAATGTCAGAAACCTCAACTTATGAAAGGCATAAGAGTGCTCAAAAGGGGAAGGATAAGTATGACAAGAGGTAGGTTCAGTGCTACTGTTGTAAGAAGTTTAGCCACTTCGCTGTTGATTATAGGTCAATCAAGGAAAGGAAATTAGAATAAGTAAACATAGCCAGAAGAGAATCTTATTATAAATGTATGATATTGGTGGCTTATGAATATGCTGGTGCGTATTTGGTAGACGGGTTGTATATATGGACACTGGATGCTCAAATCACCTAACTGGAAACAAACAATGGCTGGTTGATTTTGACTCTAGAAAGAGGACAAAGATCAGATGTGATGATGATAAATACCTCAACGCTAAAGGTATGGGAAATGTCAAAGTCATGGTCAAGAGTGGTAAATTTGTTTTTATCAAGGATGTTTTGTATGTTCCTAACATGAAGAGGAATATGATTGGTGTAGGTCAGCTCATTAAGAAAGGTTTCTCGGTTACTATGAAGAACAATCTCTTGAAGTTGTATGATTCTGATCAGAAGCTAGTTATGCAATATGAGCAGGGAAGCAACAAAACATTTAAGGTGAATATGGAGACAGCTAAAACTAAATTCCTTAGTGTATAAGACAATGAAGGTGATAGTGAGTTGTGTCATAAGAGATTGGGGCATCTTAATTTCATAAGCTTAGGGCATCTGAATTCTAAGAAGTTGGTATATGGCATTCCCAAGATTGTGAAGTCTGGGAAGTCATGTGAGATATGCATGAAAGGAAAGTAACATAGATTTCCATTTGCATCAGAAGTAGCCCCAAGAGCAAAGCATGCTTTGGGAGTAGTGCATTATGATGTTCGTGGAGCATTTAAAGTACCTTCACTTGTAGGAAACAAATATTTTATGTTGTTTATGGATGAGTTCACAAGAATGACATGGGTAGCATTCATCAAGTTTAAGCATGAGATGTTTGCTAAATTTAAGAAATTCAGAATTAAGGATGAGAAACAGAGTGGTCAGACTCTAAAGATTCTCATAACTGATGGTGGAAGTGAGTATAACTCTACAGAGTTCAGAATGTTCTGTGAGGATAATGGAATTTGATAAGTTCAAGCTTTTGAGATTTGTATTAATTTTGGTAAAACTAACTTGACAACAAGATGTTGGACAAGATGTCCTAACATGAAGAACAAACTGAAGAACAAGATGTTAGACAAGATATCATATCATGATGATTCGACATCTATGTCTGTTACTTTGCAGTTTTGATGCTGCTAATTTATTTCCATATTTCAGAATATTGTGGGAATATTTGTTTATCCTAGGTGCCATTCAAGATTGAGGAATCAGAGATTCTGTTTGAATTTGAAGATGTTGTTTGTTAAGTGTAGAGACATTTTAGGAAATTTTGGATTAAAAAAACTATTCTTGAGGAGAATAAGTTGCAGATTCTGTGTAACAGAATTGTTGCGTTTTTGAAGCCCAAATCCAGTATAGTTTATGGTTATAAATATGATGGATTTAACTTAATCAAAGTGTGGGAAATATATTGTTGCTTAGTGATTTTTAGGGTTTGTGTATTTGTGAGCCTCTCTTGTATCGTGTTGATACTAGAGATGGATTGTTTGCATTGAGTTGTAATTTTTGTCACTGTTATGATTGAAAGAGAATTGAGAAGGGTCTCATACCTCGGAGAGTCTTAGGTAGAAATTAAGCACGAGTAATGATTAAGTGATATGTTGTAAACCGGAGGTTGTTTAGCTTAGAACTAATATTATCTATTGGATTTCATTCCAAGCTTGGTAGCCCCCATACATAGGTGTTGTTGTACATCGAACTGAGTTAACAATTACTATGTATTTATTTACTTTCTGCAATTTTTAGTGTGCTCCTTCTTGCCTTTGTATTTAAAGCAGAAATCAAGTGTCTCGACATCTCTTAGGACATCTTAGATTTGCATACCAAAATTTCAATTGGTATCAGAGCAAGCATCCTGCTCTGTATCTGGGTGAGATCAGGGAAGTTACTTTCTGGTGCAATGGACAAGGAAGGAGGAATATTTAATAGACCATCCATTCTTGATGAATTCAATTATGAATATTTGAAAGTGCGCATGGTGGCCTTTATTAAGTCCATGGATGGTAAAGCTTGGAAGTATGCGGTCAAAGGATGAGATCCACAAAAGGCTAAAGATCAAAAAGGTAAAATTACTAATATGATAAAGCCTGAGGAAGACTGGGATGATGAAGATGACAAGCTAGCTCAGGGTAATTCCAAAGCATTGAATGCCTTATCCAATGGAGTGGGCAAGAGCATCTTCAGATTGATAAAGAATTGTATTTTTGCCAACGATGCTTGGGATATTTTGAAGACTTCTCATGAAGGAACCTCTAGGGTGAAATCATCAAGACTTCAACATCTTACAACCAAGTTTGAGAACTTGAAGATGAAGAAGGATGAAAGTATTCAAGACTTTCCCATGAACACTGTTGATATAGCCAATACTTCAAGTGATATAGGAGAAAAGTTTCCAAACGCTAAGTTGGTCCAAAAAATCCTAAGATCTCTTCCAAAGAAATTTGACATGAAGGTGACTGCCATTGAAAAATCCTAAGACATAAACACCATGAAGGTGGATGAACTCATGGGATCTCTTCATACTTTTGAATTGGCAATCAGTGAGAAATCTAAAAAGAAGAAAAACATAGCCTTGGTGTCTAATCAAGGTGAATGTGATCCAAATTCTAATGAAGAATTGTCTAAGGTTGTTGTGCTTCTTGAAAAACAGTATAACCAACTATTAAAAAAGATGGACGAGAAGTCAAGATCAAATGTTAAGACTAAATCATCTGACATCAACAGAAGGAAGGATTTTGAAAGAAGAACCAACAATGATAAGAAATCTAAAAAAAAGGCAAGGGAATCCAATGCTATGAATGCGAACGGTTTTGATACACAAAAGCTGAGTGTCCTACCTTTCTCAAGAAGGATAAGAAAGGCTTGTTTGCATCTTGGTCTAAAGATGATTCTTCACGTGAAGGAGAATTTGTTAAACAGGTTTCTACTCTTACTAGAGTATATGATTCTGATAAAGAATCAGATGGTGAAGAACTCACTTTTGATGAACTGGCTACCTCGTAAAAGGAGTTGTGCATCCGCAGTGCAGAAGTATGTCAACTAGGAAAGGATTAACAAAATATTATTGTTCAAATTCATGATGAAAGATTGAAGCACTTGGCTGTCATCTTTGACCTGGAGGATGAAGTTGTATTTCTCAACTCTAAACTTGACAATATGACTAAATTTGTAAGAATGCTCAATAGCAGTTCTGATGTACTGGATGAAATTTTTCAATTAGGAAGGAATGTTTTAAATGTTAAAGGGCTTGGTTATAATGATCAAATTGAGAATAAAGGAAAAAGGATTGCGATGAATTCTGCTCAACCTAAAAGAAAGCATAATTGAAAGATGTCAAGTAAGATGTCCCAACATCAAAAAATACATTAGAATAATTCCTCAGAAAGAAAGAAGCAAGACTGGAAATGTCATCATTGTGCTAAGTTTGGTCACATAAAACCTTACTGCTACAAGCTACATGGCTATCCCAAATCTGCTTCACAACCCAGAAAGATGCAGGTTGTTGGTAAAGCAAAAAAGAAGTGGATTCCCAAGAATGGCAATGTTGCTCTCATAACTCATACCTCTCTAAGAGATTCTGCTATAGAGTGGTGGTATTTTGGTAGTGGTTGTTCTAGACACATAACTGATGTTAAGAAATTTTTGGTGGACATTGAATCACATGACACTAGCTATGCCACTTTTGGAGATGGATCCAAAGGTGAAATAAAGGGTGTTGGGAAGCTGG